GTTACTTTTTGTGGATCTAGGCTGAGGGGCACTGTCATGAGTGGAAGCCTCTCCCTTGGCATGTTTCCGCCATCCAAGCTCTGCCCACAGCCTTGCAGATGCAGAACAAAAATGTCACCCTACTCAGAGATGATCAAACATGAGTGAGTGCAACAAATAGCAATGTACTCATTCACAGTAAAGATTCATTATAGCAAATAAAAGAAGATCCAAGAGAAAATAAGAGCTTATGACCAGCTCTCATTCTTTCTGTGTACTGCCTCCCTGCCTTCACCTCATGACACCAGAAGGAGCAGTGTGCGGCAGAGGCAGCCTCTGCTGACGGCTGTACTCATGGTGGTTCCCTCAGAGGGCAGATGATGCCAGCTGACCTAACGATTGAAGAGCACAGAGAGTCATTGTGCAGCTGTGGGCCTTTGTTCTGTGCAGCACCTGGGGTTTTGCTGAAACCCAGTGGTGGGAAGTTGTGAGGAAGAACTTTCTGTGAGGGGTCTCATGGGTAATGCTGCTTTTAGGAATCAGCTTCTGACCTTATGAGAAAGGTTCTGAAGAAATGTGAGATAAACGCAGTTTTGCCTAAGCCTGTCTCATGTGTCCAGCCTTTCCATTCAAAATGCCACCTTTGGTGACAGAGGGTAGCTATGCCTGTGGTGAGCAGAGCCTAATGTACAGAGATGTTGATGTACATGAGATGTACATACCCCTATGCTGTATACCTGAAACTAATGTGACATTGTGTGACAGCTATGCTCAAAAAATTATTTTTGAAAAATACAAAATGCCACCTTTGGAATAATCTTGTTAATAAACAAATATGGAAATTTCAATGAACTCATTATTTTAAAAGAGATAACTGAAAATTATCCTCACTTCAGTTGTGTATAACAGCAAGTAGCCAATACCTGTGATGTTAAGAGCTACCATTTACTGAAAACTTACATGCAAGGCATAGAACTAAAGAATTTACATATATTGTTATATTTGAGCCTCACAACAACCTCCTTTTACAAATTGGAGACACTAAATAAGCTTACCTGAAGTCACATATTGAAGAGGGGCAGGGCCAGGATTCTGGCCTAGGGCTTTCCCAGCTCAGAGTTCACTTGCCCTTACAGGTCCACATCTCTGTTGATAGCTATGTTATCCATCTGGGTAATATTAAGTTGTCATCAGATAATCGGTCATTACCTTTCTTGTTACAGTGCCTTTGTTCTAGGAAGATAACTAGATGTAACATACATGCAAGACACCACACACACACACACACACACACACACAGAGACCCAAGGCTCACTTCCTTCACCCCCAAGACTGGATGCCCTTCTTGTAAGCTTCCTGGAGCAAGTGTGACAGTCTCCCATGTGTTGTCCTGCTCAGTTTTAATGTGTGTTACAACTGGTACTGATAATAGATGCAACATGAGTGATTTGAGGGTAATATACCTTAAAAAAAATTAACTAGAATTGATTCAAAGTGATCCTTGAATATCACATTAGGTCACATTCCAGAATGCTTTCTTGAGTGGAACAAAGGGGTGAGAGTGACAGCTTAACCTCGGGGATTGTACAGACAAAACAGGTTGGGGAAACAATCCCAACCTCCATACCATGGGGAAGTGTGGCATAGTGCCTGTTGAGTTATGCACATCATCTCGTGTGTTGGGAACAAGACCCCTTGTCAGGAAGTATTTGGTAGATGTATGATGAAGTAATGAATAAATACTTCCCTTCCTTTTGGTGGGTATTCTAACAAGGAAACAGCTGTAATGGAAGGATTGTGTTTAAGCCTGTATAAAAATATTAGCAAAATTTTATTCCTATTGCTCAAATTTCTATGAACTATTTTAAGAATTATCTTATTTGACAGCTTATTCCAAGTATAACACCATGTAAAGATACAAGCATTGGCCAAGAACATTAGAGCCTTCATTGTTGAGATAAACATTGGTTCCATAATGAAGATCCAGAAATACTGCCATTTGAGCAGATGCCAACTGTATGATGAGCTCCTTCTCCCTGAAAATGTCACCACTAGTGTTTTGGAGATGAAGAAACAGAGCAGTCTAGACAAGAGGGCCCACATCTTTGAGTTCAATTGGCCATAGCTATCTGAAAAGATAGTACAGGGCCCTTGGAAGACACTGGTCTGGGGTCAGATCATAGTCCAAGAACTTCACCTCACCCTCGGGGCAAGAATCAGCAAGGCCAACAGTGTGAGAGTTAGTGCTACTGAGGACAGTCTGGCGATGGCCAGCATGAGACAGCCCGGAGGGGAGTGGCCAGAGCAACTTATGGCATGAGGCCTGAGTGAGGCAAGTTGCTAACCATCAGGTCGGCTGAGATCCAGTGGGATCCAGTCTTTCTAGAATCCTGGCCATCTTCTGGGTCTGGATTCTCCAGGTACCAGCACAGAACTGGAATGACAGCTTTCTGGGCTGTTGATCCTAACCATTTCTACCATAATAGCATCTTGTAGATCTCATAGTTTTAGTGATCTCCTGTATACCATGTGGGTCAAAGGCCTGAAAAATACGTGTCCCGTAAAAGTGAATAATTGTGGGGGCAGGGAGTTGTTAGTGAATAGTTAAATAAGTCGTGTCATTATTAAAATATTAATGATGGCAACGAGGGGGGTGGACTGGGGGCCAGGGGCACGGTAAGTGCTGATAACCTCCTCAGCAGAGGAATGTGAGGTTTGGGGAGGAGCTTATGAGCTCCACTTCAGACAGATCAGTGCTGGCATTCTGTGGGTATCCAGGAGATGCCCACGGTGGGGCTGGGGAGGGAGGGAGTGGCCCAGAGAGACTGTTAGAGGAGAGGGGCCCCAGACGGGGCTCTGAGGAACTCCCAACATTTTACCAAATGCAGAGCTGGAGGCACCCCCAGGGATCAAGCAGTGTGGCCATAGAGGTCAGGTGCCGCAGGAAGGGAGGATGTCCCTGAAGTTAGCAAGAGAGGCCCCAGCGCTGCTAGGAGGCCCGGGGACAGGAAACCACAAAGCGCCAAGTCAAATTGGTGACAAGGAGGCAGGTGTGAATTTGGTGAACAGAAGTTTGAGTGTGCGCAAGGTTTGGTCTCTTCTGGGCAGTTTCCCAGTTTTGCTCATTTTTAGGCAAATGAAGCCACTGAGGATGGTTATTTCCATTTTCAGAAAATGTGCAAGCCCCTACTTTTGGATCATGTGCCTCCCGTTTCACATGGTGCCGTGGTTCTGGCCCTTATGCTGCGCACTGTGCTGTAATCTGCTGCTTTCGCTGTCGCCAGTTCTCAGGATCGGGGCGGGGACCAGTGCACAGGAGCAGGACTGGCACTGAGCTCATCTAAAGGACAGGAAAAGGAGCTAGGGCAGAATTACGAGTTGTAGAAATTATCTCCGAGGATTACTTTTTACGCTGGTTTCAATATGAGAGTGACCACAACCACCCAAAGCCATACTGATTGTTTTGCTTTGATCCAGAGGAACCTGTGCTCTGAAGTGCAGTGCAAGCTGCCTGCGCCTGGTGCAGGGCCGCCTCTGGGTGTGGCTCAGCTACGTTATTAGATTCGACTTGGGGTTGTCACCTGTCGTCATGCCAGAGCCATAATGGTCCATTACATAATTTTATTGTCAGACCCTAAGCCCCAACTTCCTCTAAACACAGCTGGGCCTGATCATATTTTTGCCACTGATTCCATGATGTCCTGCGGGTATCTTAGGAACAGGTTGTATGTACTGGACAAACACACGTTTAGCTGCAAAGGGAGTGTTTGAATTAGAATTCAGGCCTACAAAAGGGAGTTAGAGAGGGTTGGCCTTTGCATCTGAAGACTTAGAGATGTTTTACCTCACAGGTCTACATGTGGGCATTTTTAAGACTTCAGGAGGCTCAGTGATGGCACAGGGTCTTAAATGCATATTCCTAGGAATCCAGAAGTATAGGCATCTCCCTCCTCTACCCTCACTGCCAAGCCAAGTGTTCTTATTCTCTTTATTACAGTAATAGGCCTTAAGCTAATAAATAGCCCAGGAGACACTTGCTAATAGCCAACAATTTGGGTTCAAAAGGGATAATATATCAAAATGCCTTCTAAACAAGTCTGTGGTGTTAGAAATAACCCTTAATAATATCTGTTTGCTTGTCACCTTGTCAGTCTGATCAAACATTTTTGAAAAAGATACTAAACAACTAGATGTCAAGTTAAATCTGCCTGTGTGAACATATGGGCTACAGAATAAATTCACCAGAAGACACTTGAAGGGCATTTGGGCTTTGGAAACTCAGTTTTCAGTGTGAAAGCCAACCCACTGTGTGGCTGGGTAGTGCTTTTCTTCTACTCCTGCTGCTGCTTAGGTCAAAGCTGGTTGCAGTTCACAAGGGCATGGTCTGGTGCTTGGACCAAGGCAGTTAGCGCACATCTGCATGGGGGGTTGGCCTCCAAATAAGAGCTTAGATTCACCCAGACCCTACGCAGATCCAAGTGGTGATTGAATGTGACCGTGAGGACATTTTGAATGTATTGCAAAAATACAGCTGTATAGTTTGGCACATATTTGACTTCAGAACTATTTTATTATTATTATTTGAATTTTTTGTTAGTGTTTATTTATTTTTGAGAGAGAAACACCAAGCATGAGCAGGGGAGTGGCAGAGGGAGAGGGAGACACAGAATCCAAGCAGATTCCAGGCTCTGAGCTGTCAGCACAGACCCACAAACTGTGGGCATCATGACTTGGGCCGAAGTTGGACACTTAACCAACTGAGCCACCCAGGCACCCTGACTTCAGATCTATTTTAAAATGTATTGTGGCTAAGACCAAACCTCCTAACTTTTCCTTGTGGTCACAATTCTCTGTTTTAGATGTTAGGTGTGAAAAAGGACCAGTTCTTTAAGGGTCATTCCATGTTCTAAACAGGTGTGCTGCTATCAAAAGAGGAATGTGATCCCTTGATTTTGAATGCTGTTGTATGAAACTAATGATTTTCTTGTGATGTTTCTTGCCCACCCCCCCACCCCTGCCAGGAAGGGCGCCTGTGGCCTTCAGACAGCTCCGGGCCTCGGCCAGGGGCCTCAGAGGTAAGGATTTGGGGAAGGGTTGGGGGCAGGCAACAGGAGGTGGCTGCTGCACCCGTGTGTGCAGAGGGGAGGGGAGGGGAGGACAGGAATAAACCATTGCAACAAAATTGGTGTAAGGGCTAAGTGTATTACAGCACAGATTAAGAAAGAACACATTTCACTGAAGGCATATGCTGGAACCTTGGTTAAAAAGGTGGGGAGGAGTTTTTCCCTAGAATGTCCTAGGGATTATCATTGCTCCTTATAGAAACCAAGTTGAGAATCACTGATCTTTACATGATCCCATAAGCTGCTAATAATGAGGCTTGGCAGATGTGGGTATAGTTTATAAATACATCTCCCAATTTAATAATATGACTTTTAGAGGTACCTGGCTGGCTCAGTCAGTTAAGCGTCCGACTCCGTCCCAGGTCATGATCTCGCGGTTTGTGAGTTTGAGCTCCGGGTCGGGCTTGCTACTGTCAGCACAGAGCCTGCTTTGGATCCTCTGTCCTCCCCGTCTCTGCCCTTCTCCTGCTTGCGCACTCTCTCTCTCTCTCTCTCTCTCAAAAAAATAAATAAATAAATACACATTAGAAAAATGAATATGATTTTTAAAATAACATTTTTTTGCCTATAAGTTAAAAATATGGTGTGAGAGAAATCAGTGGAGACATATATCTGTGTCTTTCCTCTGGAAGAAATTTGGATGGTGGAAGAAGCACGAAGATTATGTAAGAAGTCCAGTACCTGGCTTCATTTTGGGAAAACAAATCTGTAATCATATTTACTTTGGAGTACAGAATATTTTTCATGTCAATTACTAAAAATATCAGGAAACTTTTATTCAGAATGAAACAACTAGAAAAGCCTAGAAATCAGAAAGAAAAAGAAGTCATGTGTTCTGTATTTTCTTAAGTAATTGATAGAGTAACATGTTCTATAGTATTTCACACATAGACCCAATGCCTTATACCTGCTGCAAGTACCATTGCGTGCAGTTGAACTTATGCCCCACTCTTCTGAGCCACAGGTGAGAGCACGGGCGGCCCAGTCCCCCACTCCAGGTGAAGGGGTAGGGCCCAGACCCAGTCACCTGGTGGGCAGTCCTGGAGCGCCTCACCCCCCACCGCCCCCAACAGCGCTTTCCACTCTGTTACTGTTTACTGCACTCTGGAAATTGCTGTCATATTCTAAAGGAACCATCAGAAAATGTATACACAGCATACACAGCAACTCCCATTAAACCCAAATTCTCAGTTAACCACAGTTCTCCACAGTGAAACCATGCTAGATAAACCATAGTTTGCCCAGGTGATGTTGTAGGTCATGAGGAATAAGAAAACTACTTTTTTTTTTTTCCTGAAATAGTCTTTTCCTGTTGTTTCCTGTTTTGAGGACTGTTTGGAAAGTCTTCAAACTGTTGAGAACATAGATCAAGATCAAGCATGACTTTCCTTGATACCATCCCATTCGTGATCACTATTGTGTCACGAATGTCTTCAACCCTTTCCTCTTCCCTTGCAGATCATGTATGCCCCGAGGTCCAGGGACAGGTTTACTGCCCCATCCTTCATCCAGAGGGACCGGTTCAGCCGCTTCCAGCCCACCTACCCCTACGTGCAGCACGAGATCGACCTTCCTCCCACCATCTCCCTATCCGATGGGGAGGAGCCGCCTCCTTACCAGGGGCCCTGCGCCCTGCAGCTCAGGGACCCTGAACAGCAGAGGGAACTCAACCGAGAATCTGTGAGGGCCCCGCCCAACCGAACCATATTCGACAGCGATTTGATAGACATTTCTGTATACAGTGGGGGCCCGTGTCCGCCGAGTAGCAACTCGGGCATAAGTGCCAGCACCTGCAGCAGTAACGGGAGGATGGAGGGGCCGCCCCCGACCTACAGTGAGGTGATGGGCCACTACCCTGGCGCCTCTTTCTTCCATCACCAGCACAGCAGCGCACACAGGGGGAGCAGACTGCCGTTTCAGCAGGACAGCTCAGGGGGCACGGTGCTGCCCATCCAGGGCAAGGACAGGAAGCCTGGGAACCTCGTCTGACCCTCTGACGTGCACTGGAGGAGGCAGAAGCCAAGGAGGGATGAGGGCCTCATTGCCTCCGCTCCCAGGCACAGTGTTGTTCCGTTTCACGTGCTACAACGAAGTAAAACCAAATGTGCAAACATGGTCTTTGTTTCTGATTCCTTTCAGGGGAATTGCATGCAGACTAGACTGAAATAATACAAACTTCCATCCGGTCTGACCGCAAACAGTGTTTATTTGGGGACAGGCATCAGGACGGGGGCTGGTTTTGGCAAAGGGCGGGCATGGGAACACAGAGAAAGGGATGCTTTGAAGATATCATGAAATAAAAGCCACAGAGGTATTTGATTTATTTAATTATGAAAGGAGACTTTGCAGAGAAAGAGGCCAGAATGGCCTGGTTTATAATCAATTGATAAAGAAGGATGCATTATTATATATTATCACGGGGAAGTATTGGCCAGTTTGCTTTTTCTCCCAAGGTGTGGAACTTTTATTTTGTTTTAAAAATATGATTCAGAATTCCCGTTTTGTGTGCCAAGGTATAACGTGAAGAAGTTAGATGAGCGCAAGGAGCTAATTTGTGTTGTGATGATGTGTTTTTGAAAGTTGCACTATCTAAATGTTTATATACGAGGGAACTGTTCTGTGTGGAGTTCTGTATGTTGTCTTCTCACCTGTGGATTCTTATTAGGCCCAAGGAGCACCTGGAGTGTTCCCCATACTCACGTGAGAAAAGATGTTTGGGGTTGTAGCCTAACACATGCCAGCTTACAGAAACCAAGGCAGTGTGACAAGAGTCTGCATCATGTAGCAGTGCGTCACCGAAGTGTTTGGAGACTTTTGGATGGAAGAGAGGAAATACTAAATCCCAGCATTTCTGATGTGTTGTGTTACTCTGCTAGTCTTAGGCTGCATATTTTATTACATTTGAACCTGACACTTGCATTTATGTACCCAGTATCATGCAGTGCTGCCCCTGTCCTCCAGCAGTGCAGTTTCTTCAGTAATTTAGAGGGTTTTTTTCACTGTAGCATGAAATATACTCAGACACATACATTATTTTATGCAATAAATTGTTTAAAGTGCAAGGTGGTTATTCTTAATACTGTTGAAATACGTGACTTCTCAGTGTATTCCCGTTGTCTCTCTCCTTTTCTAGATAGCAGATAGTTCAGTTCAAGCCCAGACAGCTGGTCAGTGCTCGAGAGGCAGTGGTCCCCGCGTGGCCTGCCCGGCCTCGGTGTGCCAGGGATGCCACCAGTGGCTTCTCCGTGTGCAGGAAGCCCCTGGAGAGTGAATGAGAGAACACCATGGTGCAGAGCACAATAACAAGCCGTTGCATGTCACTCTCGAAGGAGTGCGGTGTTCAGGACCCACTGCAGCTCCCAGGGGAGTTTCCTTTCCCTGGGCAGTGGTGGCCAGAACTGGACAGTTACCAGATAGTGCAGGGCGGGGTCGGGGGGAGGCATGACCATAAGAGCACAGGATAAAAAGCACAACATGCAGTTAAAATGCAACTAGAAAGCTAATTTTAAATATTGTTAGTCTTAGCTTTAAAATCCTTGATATTTACAAACATTCGCTCTCATGTGGAATGGATAACTTCCTTCTGTGGAAGCTGCCATCTGGCCTGTCTGTCAGCCATAGCCTGAGGGTTAGGCCGCGCCACGCCCCAGGAGGGCTTGTCCACCGCTGCCGACCCTGGGCTGGCCAGGCCCCTTTGGCCTATGCATGTAAAACAATGAATGGACTGGAATGATGGCTTGGTGACTCTGATCTCCGCAGTTTTAATGCTGCGTCGGCACACGTGTGTTCGTGTCTGTTTGTGGGTCTCCAAGGTGGTTTCTCAGGGAGGTGACTTTGTGCTGTGGGCTGGGGGCTGGAGAATGTTCTGAACTAAAAGTCCTGTCGGCTGCTTCTTTCTGTTGCTTCTCTTGGTCAGTAAGTGGCTGGTTTTTGTTTTGTTTTCAGGATTGGGATCTCTATTAGATTCCTCCATTTCCCACAGTTAAGATCCACAGAACTAGTCAAACTCTTAAAAGAAGAGTGAGAGAAAATGTGAGCAGCAGTTGCAACTCAGGCATCAGACCTTATTTGAAAGTGTGTGTGCCGGGCGTTGCTGCAGGGATTCTGAGATCGGGCAGATCGCTGGGAGCCTGGACTTGGACCTGGAGGCTGTCTCTCCCATGCTGCAGGTGCTCCCGCAGTTCAGCTCACTGCCTGGGTCACAGGCCTGCACTTAAGGCAGCTGGGCATCCCCTTGGCATGAAGCCTTGACTCACCCTGTAGAGGGATGGCAGCACCTATGGGGGCTCAGGGTAAATTATGGATCAGGTGTCCTGTCAGATGCAAGAGGAGGTTGGTTACCATTCTAAGCCTCACCTGCAATTTTGATAAAGGGTGAACCCCCCACCCCTATAGCTCTAGCTCAAAATGGTTTCACAATCCTTATTGTTCTACCTGCTACAAGAAATGAGCTATGGTCAGAAACCGGTAAATTCCTTAGTCACTTTGCAAGTATATGAATGTTTTGCAGATGTCCACAGTATTGGCGAAGCAATTATTTAATTCAAATAACTTTAATCATCTTTCAGAAGAGGTTCTTCCCATTCTTCCACCCTGGAGAATTGCCCTTTGAGTTAAATAGTTATTTAAAGACACAGCCCTATCAAACGATGACTTAATGGTCCTTGAGGCTGGACCTCTGTAATGAATTAATTTAAAAGCCAAGGTCGTGAATTGAATTAATAGTCAATTTCCTTTGCCACGGGGAGAAGGTGATCCATAGCTTCTTGGAAAGTGACCACCCTGTTTGCACAGCATTGCCCCTCACTGGCTCTGTGCAGGTCAAGGGGTGCCGTGCGGAGGCAGCTTGTACGGGGGTGAATGTTCAAGAAGATCACATGCTTGGGGGACACAAGGGTCTGGCTTGGGAACCAGATTTAGGCAATCTGTGGTAGGTTTATTATTTCAGTAGGGTGTTAAAAATAAAGAATTGTATCATTCAAAGGAGCAGTGGGTGGGAAGGGGTCCTCCCGGGCATCCTGCTGTGACGTTCCCATCCATTGTCTTGGGACTTCCAGGAGCATGAAACCCAAGCCATGTTGAATCCCATTTCTAGGAACACAGTTTTCAGGAGTATATTTGCTTTTGCAGAAAGTCTACTGTTCTTGAGTCACCAAAGCAGTCCTTAGTACAAGAGATTTTGCTAAACAAATTATGTACTTAAGTAAAAGTTGCTCCATTCTTTGTGTACCTGACGAAAATTTAGTGTTAAAGGAGCTTGGCAAGCATGCCCTCTGATCTTCACCACCATATATGCATATGGACACCCAGCCCACAAGAAATTTCAAGATAGCCAAAGAGCATAGCTAATGGAACTTTACGAAGACTTGTCATGAGGACTACATTTGTATCCACTGATTGTAGCTCAAACTCTTGGGAGAGCACAGGGGCAGATGGCAGGCCTTCAGAAGCACCCACATAGGAATGTGGCACACAGATGACGGTGTCCGTCTTGGGCTTCTGAATATCTTCATTGATCTTCTTTGCCTGTACTTTGTAAGAATGGGACAGGCTCACATGCATGCGCTGCTAGAGAGCTGTTCTGACCTAGAATCCAGTCAAATGGCAGCCTTCCCCTTGGAAGCAGAGTTGCCCCTGGACAAGGCTCAGTCACCTTCCATCCAGTTGCTTTTCTGACTAAGGATTGCCTGTAGGAGGTTCCTGGGGTCGGGGCCTTGGAGGCAGGGCCGGGGGCTGTTCCCCAGCACGCTCTAGCTGTGTTTGCTGGGCTGGGGCCCCTGCTTGAGGCTTGCCACTTAGAGCGGCAACATTAACTGCATGTCGTTTGGTATCCCTTTCATTTTTCTTCAGATTCCCAAAGCTCAGCAGTGTGCAAAGGAAAAAAAAAAAAAAAAAACTGGGAAGGACACTTGGTTTTTGTTAACTTTTTGATTTTGTCTGTGTGACTAAAGCAAGACATATGCCCATGCTTGGCACCAGGCAACCCCCCCCCCCCAAGCCTGCCTCCTCTCTCTGCCAGCGTCCCCAGTCATCGCTGAATGGCCATGATACAGGCTACGTTCTGCTGACGTTCACCCAGATCACCTTGGCCTTGGTGAACCTAAATAAAATGACACGACTGGGGGACGGGCTGGTGGGTGTCCCCTCCTTAGTGTGAGCAACACTGTAGGTACCAGTTGCCCATCCAAGTCACAGATGAAGAAAGTGCTTTCACCCGATCACAAAAGTTAGTCTCAGCAGCTTTGCTGCTCCCCTGATGCCAGCTGCCAGAGCCTGGCCAGAGGTCAGTGACGGACTGTGCGAAATACCTGCCTCACCATAGCCTACAGTTTTCAGGAACCAAGATTTCAGCTGAGGTTAGTTTACTACCCAAAGTACTGCATCTTTTGCATAGTTTAAGTTTGTAATTTACTGCCAGGGTTAGACAGTTGTTTGCTGCTGTTGCTGCTGCTGCTTCCCAGGCCGGCTGCGTCAGGAAGCTGGTGTGTGTGAGCCGAATGCCTTGCCAAGAAAGCGCTGCCTTCCTTTCATCCTCTTTCCTTCCTCTGCGTGTGCTTGTCTGTGTGCAGTGTGGTGGGGGTCCCGACGCACTACTCGCATGTCATGTCGCCCATGGTGTTCCAAAGAGCTCTGCATGCCAGTCGCTTTGAAGCCCCCACGGGGTCTTGTGCTGACATCAGCAGACCCAGGAACTGAGCCCCCACTGCCGCACTCTGCTCCCACCTTTGTTGTGCCTCACTTACAATGGTGCTTTTTCAGTTGTCTGTCTTCTGTTTTTATTTGTAAGGTGCTGTATATAACTTGAATATATTATGCACATATCCTACCCAATGGGTAGAACAAAAAAATTGTTAATACTGTAATATAATGTATAGATACCGATTTTAACAGAAATGGCATAGAATTTGTGAATGCCTATGTGCTTTGTCCTCTTTTGTAAGGAAATTTGCAAATGGATGCATACAGATAAAAGTCTATGTAGTTTATTTTCCTATTAAATATCAATATTATAACACAAGGGAAAGAAGTCTGAACAAGCAAGCCACTGTTTATGACCAGCATAT